CTTCTAGAACGACTGCCATGTGTTTTGGATTTTTGGGAAGATTTTTCTAGGCCAAGGGGGCCGCCCCTTCCAAGACAGACGCAACAGTTGGCTCCGAAGCTGCAGACGCCTTGACCAGTAGAGCAACAACTGGTCCAACGACTTGAGAAACAGGTCGTACATGGGCGGTTTCTTTGGTTGAAATTGGCCGTTTCTCTATCGAAGCTTAAACGACAGGGGTAGAAGGGGAAACATTAGGAGTTGTCGCTCCCGTAATTTGACTGGAGATAACATAAATCTCCCGTTCTCATTTCCTCGCCAACTTCTTGACTCGTTTTGCGGGTTGAGGGGGTTCGACGGCCGTCTCGGCCTCTTGACGAGGCCGTTTGCTCAGTAAGGCATGCGCGGTAGTCTTAGCCTTTGTAGAGATAGTTGATTTTTTCCCAGTCGCAGCGACCACTTCTACCTTTTTCAGTGATCGACTACCTGAGAAAGCAAAAGCAAATTAGTAAAGTTCAAAGTCGAAAGAAGAAGGTAGAAATAAACTGTTACCTTGAGATTGGGGGGCAGAAGCCTTATTGGGTCGACCGCCAAAGATCTTGTTCAAGACATCTTTGACCAAAGCACCAAAAAAGTTTTGGGTATACTCTTTCCACCAATCACCGAAAGTGTCAGTGTTAAGGGATTCTGGAACGGTTGGTCGAAAGTGGAATTTTTAGCACCGTTCTTGAAACTTCTTTTTGGCACCCTTACACTCTTTCTCTGAAGAGCCAGATAGGCGTCATCGGATTAGCAAGAAGCGAGAGGTAAGAAGATAGCCGAGTTGCCGAGCAGTAAATTGGGGGTGATATACTTCCCAACTTGCTCGGTGCGTGTCACACCCAAAAGGAAGGTCGCGAGTAAGCACAAACGGAGATCAGCATCATCATCTGCACTCCATGCTGATGTGGGAAGTTTGATCGACAAAGGATATTCTCGACTACGGCAGATCAAGAATTCGTCGTCGGAAAGGGCATCAAGGCCGAAGAAGTATCTGAACACGTCTTCAACTTAGTGAGGAGGTACTGGTCGAGAAGCCACTTGAAGGTCGAGTGCTTCAGTAGTCGAGAAGCTGGCAAGCTCTGGCCGAATGATGACGAAATAAACCTGCAGCCAGAGTTGGAATACCCAGAGGGAGCCACTCTGGTGTGGGTCGATCTTGTGAAGGGTCATCTCGGCCAAACAGCACAGAAGATGAGCAAGAATGGTTGGACTGAGCGTCAGGGTGTGACCGTTAGCCAGAGTTTCGGCCACCGGCATGTTCTCAACCAAGCATTTGTTGGACTTGGTACAACAAATAAATTTGTTATACCAGTAGAAGAGAAAGGCTTCGTGTTCTCCCCGTCGTAGGTTCTCCTCACCTTAACCGGCAAAGTGGAGGTAAAGAGTGTTGTAGTTGAGGAAGTTCTTATAAAGTTTCTGAACTTCCTCCTTTGAGGGTTCTTAACCCTCTCCGCTTAGCGTTTCGATGGCCTGATCGTTGAAAAGTGCCTTCAGGTCAATAGTCGATGGGTACCCGGAGAGGGTAGCGTCAACTGGGATGCCAAAAGGGGAGGTCCCTAGGATTGCGGTAATGTTGAGGATAGTATGACACATGGGGCCGAGGGGAAAGACCATAGTGTTGGTGGCTAAGCACCAGAAGCTTGAGGCTGCCATAAGAAGCTCCTTGTCCACGACGATCTCCATAAACGAAAGACGAATGGCATCATAAATGCCAAGAGCTTTCCATTGCTCGCCGAAGATCTTTTCTATCCGTGCAACCCAGGCTGCCCAGGTCGCAGTGGTCGAGGGCCAAGAGCCTTGGGGTTTTGCTGAACCCCACCTCGACCATTCAAACCCTTGCAGTAGGGGTGTTAGACACTGCTCCTTGAAGAGTTCAGTGATAGCTGGTGGAACTGCATCCCGAAAAAGTGGACCAAGGATCTGGTAGGGGTGCTCATGTCGCTCTCAAAGCGCAGAGTCTTGATTGAGCGATGGTCGATGATTGCTCTGCATTTGTCGCATTCCTTAGAAAGCTTGGAGATGAAGGAGGCCATTGGAATGGTTTTGAAGGCTTTCTGGGAGAAAGTCAGGGGATTTTCTTTTAATCTTTTGAACAAGAGAAAGTTTGGAAAATTTGAAAACGTAAAGAATGAATAATAGAAGGCCGAGTATTTATAGACTCGTGGAATGGAAGACCAAACAGGGAGAGTGATCAGGAAGATCGTTAATAATTATGGAGTGATGGAGAATATTAACAGACCTAGGAGAAAGAACCAAAAAACTCGCCGATTAAGGGGTCATAATGATATCGTGGCGGCGTCCTTTTATGAAGAAATGACGTTTTGGTGTCTGCACGATCTCAAAGGTACCGAAAGATTCGCAAATCGAGATTGCATGATGACATACAGCGACAGGTATAATGATTTGAGGACGTTTGGTCTTGAGGAATTCAAAAAATCTCGCGGATCAATGGGGTAATGATGAAATGACACTTCAGGTCATGCCGAGAAGAGGATACTTGGCGAGATATCTGACGAGAGCAAGATCGTGCAATCGTGCTTCATAAATGCACCTCGGGAGACGGAGCCTGGTGTCGCTTCTTCAAGGTCAGGGCTCGGCTAGAGACTTCAGGTCGAAAAAGTCCTCAGAAGCGAGGGGGCAATGTTTAGGCCCAAAATATTGGTTTGGGCCGAGATTTATTCTCGACCCAGAAGGCCTTACGAAAAGGTTATCGTGGATCGTTTAATTCATGGGCTTCCTAACTTAGGTTGGTCAAGTCATGCTGCGAGACGAGCAACTAAATCCTAGCGCAAAAGGAGTCTCGGCAAGATTGATATTGATAACCCGGAAGTGAATCCGGCTTGATAAAGGACTAGGTTCAAAGTCATAGTGAAAATAGGACTAGTCAAGATGGTGTTTGATTAGAAGAAGAAATCCTAATCCAAGTAGGGTTTTAACTCGATCTAGAAAGTACCTGATGCTATAAATAAAGGAAGTTGTGCATCATTTAAGCCCCCTTCAATTCAACACACAACTGCCTTGCGCAAATTTTCTCAACAACCTTGAGACTTTTTCCTTTTCTTTTTTCGCTGACACACTTTTAGTTTGGATAAACAGCACTGTGATGGCAACCGGTGATATCTTCAGTCAGCATAGATAGCACTGTCACTGTAGAACCAGCCGATCTCGCAGCATCTTCAATCGGCATAGATAGCACTACGTCGAGGGTGACTGGTTATATATCCAAGTCTCGGTCGAAAAGGATTCCCGAATCCTTATTGGTCGAGGTCATCTCATTAGCCTTCTCGACGAAGTGAGGTGTTACAGTTTATTGGACTCGGCACATTGCATGCCTAGTTAGTTTATGATTGGATACTCTCAAGTGGAATTTAGAGTTCAGCATTCCGACGGCCGAACCACGTTTATTGTTAAGACATATATCCGCTTTGAGTATTTGTGCCCTTACACTTTGGTGTCAATTCGACGTGAGTTTACTCTACCATCACTGTGACCGAATCCGACGACGACGATTTGTAAGCTTCGTAAGAATAGTAGCCTTGTCTTCAAGTTCGAGAACCCAAGAAACCGAGACGTGTTCCTTCCTCGGTCGCAATCACAAGACGCAGGAGTCGGCCGCACACTCAACACAACATCAACATATCTTTACTCCTTGGCCGAACTCGGCCAATGAGTTGGCACGCCCCACATTCAACCGAATGACGTAGTTAGCTCATAGATTACTCGGCCTGCGCGCCACATAGGCTTGGTAGTTTTTAGGGTTAACAATAAGTTTAAAAAAAAAAAAAAAAAAAAAAAACTTTTAGTCATTATTTATTTTTATTATGAGAGTTCCTTATTATCATTACTAGGATAAATTTTACTTAACATGTTTTTGTCCAAAATTAAAATAAACTAATATAGTATTTGTATAGGCAAGAACTAAGAAAACATACATACAAGTATCAAAAATGTGAAAGAATATATAGATACTCGTGATTTACACTTACATTATCGTTTAGATTTTTAAAATCCTCCAAACCTTCATGAATAATGTTTTTTATTTGAGTGAAAAATTAATAAAATTAATAATAATTATTGTAGACGTGTAAAAAATGTAAAAAAAAATATACAATCACTCATAGTGACAAACTTTACAACTTTCATGAAGGGGTCAACTTAGAAATCCAAAACTATAATTCATAAACCTTAAATTTATATTTAACCGTCGATTGCCATTTACGTTTTATTCTTCTTATTGAATTTCATTTTTAAAATTTTCTTTTTTGAAAACATGATCATATGGCGGATGTAAAAAGATGAACCGTTCAGATTTTTGATATCACGTTTCGATATTTACGGTTAACTGAAATATGAGTCGATGTTATATAGTTTGTCGAAACTTTATAAACATCAAGCAATATTTTCACTAACCGTAAAACTCTGAATATAATATCAACGATCCAAATCGTTCATATTCATGCATCCTCTAATAGATTAAGTTTTCAAAAAAGAAAATCTGAAAAAACAAAATTTGATGAGAACAATGAAGCGTAAATGTAAACAACAATCAACGGTTAAATTTTGATCTACAATTTATATGATTATAGTGGCGAATTTCGAAGTTAAGCTCTTCATGAAAGTTGTAAAGCTTGTCATTACGAGCGTTTACATATTTTTTCTATATTTTTTTACACTTCTACATTAATTAAAAAACTATTAAAGACTTTAGGTAAATGAAAATATGCGTAAAAGAAAAATGTGTTTTATATTTTGAATGTGACAATATGATATGTATATACTTATTTAGTATTATGTTTTTCATTTGATTATTTATTGGTTTAAAATATATTTTCCTTAACAGGTAACAGGTCAGGTCATATTACCTATTAATATTATCGGGTCGATTTCGGATCGGGTCATTTTACCTGTTTATTTTAACGGGTGTTACACGACACGACCCGTTAAGATATCGAGTATGATACAAAAACGACACGAACACGGAAAACACGACACGAATGCCAGGTCTACTATTAATTTATGCATAAAAGCAGCTTCCTCAAAAAGCAATGCCACCTTCCCTCCAATAAATATCCCATCCACCATATATAAACCACCTTCCCTTCACCAAAGAATCCATCAGCACTTTCTCTTTCTATCTACAACTCTCACACACACACAATGACTCCTTCAAAATTTTCTTCCCTTGGCTGTGAACTGAGGATCATACAAGCAAGAAACACCGAATTCAAGACCACGGGAAACCTGTTTGTTCGATGCTCTCTTTCGGCACGAAACAACAGAAGAATTATGCTCAACACCAGAGAAATCTCCGCCAAGTCTAACCACATTTGAAATGAGTCCGTCTCTTTGGAGTGCTCTGGAACCGAGATGTGCTCCATGGACAACATCCTACAGCAAGAAAGTGTGGTTTTCGAGCTCCGCTGGGGGAGCACTGTGCCGGTTTTTGGACCAAACATGGAGTTAGACTAGTGGGTCACGGTGCTTCCAACAACTAGGCATGGCCTTGAAGGTATCAAATCGCCTCAACTGCAAGTAGGAATCAAGATTCGAGTTCAAGCAGATAATGTGGAAATGGAGAAAAAGAGGCAGAAAGACAGAAGGCTGAGTAAGTAGATGGGATGAGTGTGGTTGTGAAAGCGGTCATTGTCACGGTTGCACTTGTCCAGATTATGAAATTTTTGCACTAGCAGCTGCACTAGAGGCTTTTTAGGCACACAAAAAATTGGCGTGTGTGCACAAAGAGGGATTTTAGTTGGTGTAAACATTCTTTGCTGTTTTTTTTATTTTGTTTTCCTACTAGTATCGTACTCACCCATTTTCTTGTAGGACTGAAATGATTGTCGAAATTTATCTTCTAATTGTATATGTGAATCAAACCATGAGAGGAAAAATCCAAAAAGACATTTGACAAAATAATGTAACGAAATTGTTCCATCAATCACAAAATATTACTGTAGTCTAGGCAATTGTGGACAATATTGACTCAAACCTTAGTTGTGAACTTGTGCCTTCAAAAGCGTTGTGCCAAAACACATCTTTTCCCATGGAGTTTTCTCTAAAGAAATTTTCTTTTTCTGAAAAAGCTTCCATCTTGGCACAGTTTTGTTTAGCATATCAGTAACAGGCATGACTAAGACCGCAAACTAAGAAAAAAAACAATGACTCTAACCAGTTTTTTTTTTTTTTTTTTTTTTTTTTGAAAGATTCTCTATTTATTTGTTTGGCAAATCAATTTCAACAATGGCACAGTCATTTACCAGTTCATCAGATTCCAATTCTAAGTTTTCTTTCTAAATTCCTAATGAATAGAAGAAAATGAAATATATATAAATATCACTAACCTATAAACACTGACGGCCGTATGTAGCTTCCGTTGCTTGAGCTTCACATATGCCAAACCAGAAGTGCAGATGAACTTGTCACCTTAAAACTGCAGCATGAAGGATTGTTCAACCGCATGGTCAACAATGCAGCTCTTCATACAGTTACCAAACCATCTCTCCAGATATAATTTTGAAGAACCCCAATCCACGTACTTTCACGTTTAGCCTACTCCTTGATTTAATCACATCTCCATGGGTCTCACAACAGCCCAAAACGGTTTCGTGTAATTTATACCGCCCATCCTTAGTTAACCATCACACTCTGATTAGTTGTGTTGATGCCTCAGAAAGCCTCAGCAAAATCAGCATATCTGTTAAGTTACTCCAAATGGTAGTAGAGAGCAATTCCAATAGATAAAAGAGGCATGACGAGATTTGTTTCCTGATCAAATCCCACTAAAGACTGATCATATATCATAAACGTACTTGGTCATCAACAACATGAGGGACAAAAAAACCTCACTTGACCAGCAAAATTACTCAACAAGCACTTACTAGTCTCTTGGATTCTTCAGCAGTCCCATACACCTTTGGGTGCCCCAGTCAATACCAGTCTCCAACACCTTTCACAGGCAGAGAGGTTTGTGCTATAGCATGAAATATTGAGCCTAAAAGCAGGCCCCTAGTAACATTGCATCGTTCATTTATGTTTGCTGCATTTCCTTAGTAATAACATTTTTTGACATTAGGCCTCTCTTTACCATATGATCCCAAAACAGGCGTATGCTATCATTGTCTCTGGCATAAGAAGCACTGAAAGATCTATAGATCTTGCGTGTCACCATCAACCTCCTCTTGTACATTTCATCTAGCATCGCTGAAACTACACAGGACTTTCCTGCTTTCAAGTAAGCATATGCAAGACTAGTATATATTACACTGTCTCCTGATATACCTTTCTCTCGCATAAGATGAAAACCTTTTCCGCTTCATCAACCCTTTCACGTTTACATAACCTTCTTATTAATGCCCTGTACATAGAGACATCAGCACAAAGACCTTTCTCCGGTAGTCTTATAACTGCTGCTTCATTCCCCTGGTTACAGTAACCATCTATAATCCATGTATAGGTGCAATAACTAGGAGAAATTCCTGCACCAAGCATGCTAAATAAAATATCTTTAGCACTGTCCATTTCCAGAACCTGGCAAAATCCATGAATGAGTGCTTTATGTGTAAACTCGTCCAGCTTCAGTCCAGCTGCCAACATCCTGTCCTTCACATTGACAGCAGACCTCATATCTCCTATCTTACAATAAGCATTAATCAATGTGTTGCACGTGACATTGTCAGGTTCAACGTTCCTATCACTCATCTCATTCAAAAGTTTATTTGCATCCCTCATCCTGCCTTGTTCACACAACTTGCGAAGAATTGAATTATAAGTAACAACTCCTGGATACAGTCCTTTGGCCTTCATTACCTCGCACAACCTTAAAGCTTCTTCCAGGTCATTCACTCTACAATACCCATCAATTAATGTGGTGTAACTTATATGGTTCGGAGTAGCACCTTTGATTTCACGGAAAAGTCTTACAGCCTCCCTCATCCTACCTTCTCTACAAAACGCATACATAAGAGAATTGTATGTCACCATATCAGGGCTAACTCCTGCTCTTTCCATTCTATCCTGAACAGACAAAGCTTCGTAGTGCATACCCCTTTTGGAATACAGCGATATCAACGTATTATATGTGAAAAGATCAGGAAAGACACACTTGAATTCCATCTCACTTAGCAAACTCTCTGCCTTCTCTACATCCCCAGACTTGCAACAAGCATGAATCAACACATTGTACAAATGAACATTTGGCACAACCCCGGCCTTGATCATATTCTTGTAAACTTTCCATACCATATTAGTCATCCTATCTTTAACCAAAGAACTCAATAAGGCAGTACAAGCATGCAAATGGGGCTTAAACCCATGAATCCTCATAAGCTCCAAAACCTGAATTGCATCTTGGGTCATCTTAGAATTAGCATAAAAGATCACAAGCCAGCTCAAAACATGTGAATTCACATCACGGTCGTCATTGGTCCGAACCAAAGCATTCAAAACCGACGGAGAAGACAAGAAATCCTTAAGGGCAATTTTTTCAAGCAGTTGGTGTGCAGGTTTGAAGTGGGTGTGCTTGGTGAGGATGTGAATCATAGTCCAAGAACATTGCAAGGAGTGCTTGCAAGTGGGAAGTGATTCGACCCATTTGAAGAAAGCCCAGGAAGGAGAAAGGCCATAGCCATGGAATGAGAGTTGCAGTAGTACCTGGTGAATGGTTGCCGAGCTGAGAAGAAAATCATTGTTGGGTTTCAAGAGGTTGCTCCACTGACCCTTTACCACAATTGCGCACACACTGTGAATGAACTGAGTCTCACCAGTCAATGAAATTAAAGCAGCCATAAAAAACTGAGAGGTTTCGGTGAAAGCTGTGGCCTCCGTGGGTTTTGGATCTAAATTTCTTCTTTTTAATTTTTACAGTGACATCTCCATCTGCGTTCATTCATCTCCAACTGAAGATAAAAAGAACAAAAAGGGTGAAAATAGTTGGTTGTTAGTTGTTAGGGTTAAGGGCAGTGGCAGAGGCAATACGACAAAACTAATTACACCCTCTTCTACTTCTAGTTTCTTATATTATATATATATATATAAACCTTGACAATCTTCAATATTACTCCACAATGTCCCGCATCTACCTTAGACAAGCTCTATAAATAATAGTAGTCGTCAACATATGTTGGCATAAACTTTCGGCATATATTGATAGGAATTGGTAGGTGCCTATTAGGTGTTAGACAAAATGGCCAAATAATATTTTTTTATTGATATTATGATCTCATTACTTGAAAATCCTGACTACACCACCGGTTAGGGTTGCAAATTCAATAAAATAAACTGTAAAAAAAAAAACATGTTGATAAAAAAATAATAAATAAATAAAGTCAACTTGGGTTCAAGAACTGAACTAAATCGTTCATACCAGTGTGGGTTCTAATTTTCATCTTGCAAGAACCACCAGAACCGGACCAAATCGTTTATTTTTATTTTTTTAATATCTGATTCACTTAGCCCATTTTATATATAGACCCAAATATTAAGTCCAAGCCTAGAAGCCATAACTAAGGGATGATTTGGTATTGTTGTGCTTTGAAAAAAAACTGCTTCTGCTGTACTGTGAGAATAAGCTCATTTTTGCTGCTTCACGTTTTTAGTTTTTTTTTTTTTCACCCAAAACAGTGAAAATAAGTTGTTTTTAAATGTTTACCAAACACATTTGTTAGCTCAGTTTTTTTTTTATACCCACTTTTTATAAAAGTACATCAGTATCAAACCAATACTAAACCCTAATGTTTAAAGTTGGCATTATTGTTTCTTTATCATCTCCTACTCTCCTCTTCTTTTGTGCTGCACCACTTTCTCATTTTCTTCATTTCTCTTCTTCATTTTTTTCTTCCGTTCTTCTCCTCATCCATTATCCCAACACATAGCCCCCATCTTATTTTACCCAAAACATAAGTTTTCTTTTTTATAAACTCTGCTTGATGTTTTATAATGGTTTATTAGGATTTATTTTATTTAAGAGTGTTGTAAGAAGTAGTATTGTTAGGACTCATTAGTGGAATTTATATTTCATGTTGATATATATTTGTGTATGTATGGCATGCTCTAACTCGGTATTGGTAGAGTAAAACTAGCTAGGAGTGCTCTAGCTCGGATTTTCTGGCATTTTGATCGACATCTACTTTGACCGTGATTCCATAGTCACCTCCTTATGCCTGAAAGCATTCCAGTCAACCTTGAGTACGCATCTACCTTACTGCACTTCGTATTATCTCTGGGAGAATCGCTCGGACGTTGAAGTTTTATTTGTGACCATTAATTCCTCAATCACCCAACAAATACTTTGCTAAATGAATCCTTATCGTTGGTGATTGAATCTCTCAGAAGCTACCGTTGTAGCGAGATGTCATGCATTAATTCCAGTTACCTTGTATTCTAGATTTGATGGACTTGTTTTGACCCTCAAATCCTTGATTGTTCTTTTAACATTCTCAACATAATTTTTCGCCAAATTCGAGAGAAATTCACTATGAATCTGCTTTTTAAGGCGTTATGAACTACATTGTTCAGCTACATGGTGTGCATGTTGCTATTGTATTTCGTCATGATGTGTGATTTACTTCAAAGTCTTTGGAAGCCTACTTGAAGGTTATGAGTACTAAGTTTTTGTCTAGTACCACATTTCACCTTCAAACTAACGGCCAGTCTGAACGAACTATCCAGACCTTAGTGGACATGTTGCTTTTGTCCGTTCTACAGTTTTAGTATTATAATAGACACTTATCCCTGTTAGAGTTATGTATAACTAACGTTACTATTTTGATTTTTGGTATAGCTCCATTTGAGACGTGGTATAGAGGGTCTATGCATAATACACAATTGGCAGAAGAGTATTGCGAACAGGTATTCGAAGGATCGAGTTTATAGCATAGGAGATTACGTACTTTTGACGATGTCATCCCAGAAGGTAGTACGTGAGCACGATCAATGCGTTATTCGTTGATTTATGTGTATTTCCCAATGGGGGCAAGATGGTAATATTGCACCCTTGGAAATTATTTGCTTGCTTATCGTGACGACAACGAGTTGTTAGTATTGCGGGCTGCAGACTATAATATCGATAGCTTATTCGTTGGATTCGTTAATCAAGTGGATGAGTAGGCCCGTCTACGTTAGTATTTCTATTTATTTATTGTTTGGACTTGACCCAAGTTACTACACACATATCTTCAGAGTATGTGATGCTACAAGTGCATATGTGAAAAATCATTTCTATGTTCAGTTTTGATTTAAGTATAACTATTTTAATTTTACGTTATTATATACGTATTTTGACATTATGTTGTTGTTGTTGCTGTTGTTGTTGTTGCTGTTGTTCTTCTTATTATTATTATTATTATTATACAGGAAGTTTTTAAGGGAAGGGACCCAATTTTTTTTTAAATGGGGATTTGTTGTGGGGTCCACACCACATCGAATTTTAACGATCCGAACCATCCATTTTTCAAGTTGTATCTCATAGATCACCCTTGTAAAATATTAGCCTAATTGGAAATATTTAAGACATCTAATTGGGTTCAAAGAAATGAACAAATACTTTATTATATAAGAAATAATAAAATTTGATCTTGATAATTAAATAGGCATATGGTTTCGGATTGAATTGAATTTTTGCAAGGATGATCTTTGAATCGAGACTAACAAAATAGACGGTTCGGATCGTTGAAATTCGATGTGGAGTGGGCCCCACATCTAATCCTCATTTTTTTTCAAACAAATATTATATATATATCAAATGAGGCGGAACTAATGATAGTAATAACGATGAGGACAATTATACCAAGGGCAATCATGATTAGGGTTGAATGAACTGTTAAATGAATTATGTGGAATTTGATGTGGAAGATAACCATGATTAAAAATGCCATGAAACCAATTGTTATAAACAAATAGAAAGAATTAAACAAAAGATTGATCGGTGTTTACCTTGAACTTGAGGTATTCGATGAATTGACTGTGAGTAAGAATTTTATGCCATTCAAAATCAATTGTTATGAAAATATTCTTCATAATGAAAATAATGAATTCAAAGTAATGATGCAAATATAATTTAAAAATAAATTTTATTGCAAAACTTACACCGGAACTTACAATTGATTTACTGACGATTGAGTCAGCAAATAAGAAAATGACTGATGAAAAGGATATTGGTGCATGCAGGCATCCTTGACATTCTAAAATGAAAAATGTTTACAATTTTTTATTTCTTTGGTTACAGTATGAACTCAAAGAAACTTTTGATTGAAATTGTGGAAATTCCAAACTTGAAACCTTCTCATTCATAGTTCACTTCTTAAAGACTTGCAAAAAGGTCTTGTAAGACTTGCTTTCACTATTGATGAACTGTGAAATTTATTGGAATAATTGTTGTTTTTCCGTGGAAGAATATTTGATGCCATTACTGTGGAAGCACGGGATGGATGAATGAATGAATGACTCCAAACATTGTCAGAATCATAGGTGAGAATAATTTATGAATGCTTCACATGGCAAATGACTATGTTCACATGGTGACTTGACATGATGACTGAAGTTTTCACATGACTTTAAGCAAATGGGTCATGGGAATCCTGGTAGTTAGCCCACTTAGTTGGTTGTGTTTTTTGGCTTGCTGAGTTGAATGGTTGCTGTGAGGATGTGTCTGAAGATTCGGAGTCTACAGCTTCTTTGTCTACAGTATGAGCATCGCTGCTTCTACAAGTAATTGTTGTGCTAAATCTTCAAGCCGAGTGGCTTTATTTTTCTTTGAGCCTAACGATTTGGTAGACTTGACTGTTCCTTTGAGGGACGAAGATAGACTAATGTCTGATAATGATTGTTCTGGGATAACTAGCAGTGATGGTTGTGCAGAATGATTGGGAGTGGAGTAATGGGAAATTCGGTAAGGACCTGACTGATGGTCTTCTAATGGTTGAATTTATCCCACCACTTGACTGATTTGGCTCTGTAAACTTCACCTGTTTCAACTTCATAATTCCACTTCAAGATCTATGAGACTTTCTACTTGGCCATGAATATTAGGAGAAGTGTAATTCTGTAGTTGAATCAACTTCTGTCAAATTTTTGTTGGAAACTGGCTGAGAGAACCTGCATAAGTTCTTCTGGTAGGAGACTGGCTGTTGGGCCGTGAGTTGACCACCATTTTGGGAACCATACAGGAAAATTCAATCTGAAATTCTTGTCAAAATTAATGAACCATGAATGACTAAAATCTTCTGTTTGATGGATAAAGATGTTAGTCCATGCATCAATGTAATCAAAATAATTGTAATGGTTGTTGGGAATATGGATATATTGGGTATGAAGAGGTTTGGTTTTGTAAAGGGGGATTTCCCAATTTGCTTCGGTTAAAAACCTTCCAATGTAAAGCTAGAGGATCTTGTTTTCATGGGTTTTTCTATAGAGAGGTTTGATTGAAATGGACTCAGTTTCACTGAGGATGGCTTGATAGTATTTCAGTGTTTTATGTGGTTCTGTAGGATGATAATGGAAATTGGGTGGAAAGACTATTTTGGCTAATTTTTTTGGTGCTTGTTCTTGATTGAGATTGAAAGGGATACTGAAAAAATATTCACTGGGGTTTTTCTTGACATATGGTGATGTTTTGGTATAACTGACTAGTTGGGATGATGATGATTGGTATGTTGGGGTTGAATAAGGATCATATTGACTGACTAATGCCGTTTGATAATTGAGACATGGTGATTGGTAGTTTTGCCTAAGGTTTTCTATTGTGGAACCTAAGGGATTGAATCGGTTAGTAATGGCTAAGGCCGATGAAGAATCTGGGCTTGATTCTTGTTTGACTGATGGTGGTGGTAATGGCTGGAAGCCTCATCTGATCAGGTCTTCTTGCTGTCATTCTTCTCCTGCAGAACTTCTCTGGTTAGGAAATCAGGGATGCAATTTTGACTACCTTTGATGTATTCGATTTCAAAATAAAAAATACT